GATCCTGTGCAAACTTAGGATGCAGACCTATGCAGACTTATGATGAACTTCTTATTAGAAAATTATATAGGACTTACCAGAGATGGCAGAACTATTTTCAGGGTCCATTATTGACCCTCTTGTCTCATCTGCAAAGATGTGAGCAGTAGGAACAAAACACAAATTATAACATTCTAGTGTGAAAGGCAATACTGAACAGAATTTAAAAGGTTGTGTGTAACGGATCCCCTATACTCTGTCTGAGTATATTCATGTAAAATCTCCCGACATCCAAGCATAAAAGAAGTTGTAGTGATTATAACTCCTAATCCCCCAAACATGAGCCAAGACTTCATGAAGGGGTAAAGCATCCTGTTTAATGGAAGCCACAACTGGTGTGACGATACCTTACCTGTGTCCGCCGATCCCGCACAGCACGGCGGTTCCCCCGGCTGCTTCCGGGAGGCGGCGCTGCCTGTCAGACGCTGCCCGCTCGCGGCAAAATCAGTTTTATGACGCGGCGCATGTGCGCCGACGTCATGATAGTTTTGCTGCGAAAATTCAAATACGGTCACGCTCCCGGACCTTTTGGGGGCGTGGCTTTAAAGTGACACACACATCAGTATAAAAGGGCATCCCTGTCCACCCCTCAGTGCCCTAGTGTGGTTCTTGATTGTTCCTCTGGTGCTCTTATACTTAGTTATCTGTTTTTCTGGTATTTTGACCCTTGGCTTCCGTACTGATGATTCTCCTATCTAGCTCCCCGACTTTTGGCTTGGCTTTCTCGTTTATCCCGATTTCCGTACTCCATTGATCCTTGACTTTTCTTTTGACTATTCTCTGACGTTAAGTCCGGCCACCCTAAGGTCCGGTATACGTCCATTTCTGGGTTACCATCTGTGTGAAGGGGTCACTGTCGTGACATTACACTAGGGCCATGGACCCTGCAGGTGCTAATCCTCATGGCCCGGTTCCTGATAATCGGTTTGAGGAACTGGACCATCGTATGGACCAGTTTGCTGTAGCTGTTCAGACCCTGTTAGCTCGGACTGCACATCTACAGCCAGAGGACCATATCCCGGGTCATAGTCCTCAGAAACCTCATATGGAGATGGCGGCAGGCGGGGCTTCTGCCCATGCTACAACCCCTCTCCGTTATGGAGGTGATCCCAAAGGTTGTCGGGATTTCCTCAATCAAATTAGTATTAACTTTGAACTTCATCCTAGGGCGTATCCTACCGATAGATCAAAGATTGGTTATATTATAACGTTGTTAGTCGATAGAGCACTAGTTTGGGCCAATCCATTGTGGGAAAACGACAATCCCATAGTTTTTAACTACGCAGAGTTTGCTGCAGCCTTTAGGAGAACATTTGATCCCCCTGGAAGACGTACTAATGCTGCTAAAACCCTCTTACGAATGAGACAAGGGTCTTGTTCCCTGGTTGACTATGCCCTGGAATTCCGCACTCATGCTGCAGAGGTCAGATGGAATGAGCAGGCCTTTGTAGATGTGTTCATGAATGGACTTTCTGACAAGCTTTTAGACGAGGTAGCTACCCGAGACCTCCCTAATGTGTTAGAGGAATTGATTACATATCTAGCACATATAGACGAACTCTCCGACATAGACAAAACACCAGGGATAGACCTAGGCGTGTGCCGGAACGCTGGCATTGACGTTCCCTTCGTCTGAGGAAACCACTGTCGCTCCAGCAGAACCCATGCAATTGGGAGCCACACGGTTGCCTGAACCTGAGAGACAATATAGACGAAGGGAGGGACTTTGTATGTATTGTGGGAAAAGAGGACATACCCGCCTACACTGCCCAAACAGGCCGGAAAACTCCAATGCCTAAGCCCTCAAGGAGGACAGGCCTTGGGTGTAACGTGTATGTCCTCCTTCCAAGACAGGAAAGAACTCAGGCTTCTTCTACCGATAACCATAGAATGGGAGGGAAAGATAATAACTACCTCTGCGCTGATAGATTCTGGGGCAGCTGAGAACTTTATCGACCGTACTTTCGGCCAGCATCACAACCTCCCATTTCGAGTAAGATCAACACCTTTGGCCGTTGAGGCCATAGATGGTAGACCACTATCCATTCCTTTTATTACTCAAGAATCCAAACCCTTAGTCTTGACTGTAGGTTTGTTGCATAAAGAAACCATAACCCTACAGCAAATACCTTCTCCCACCTTTCCGATTATACTTGGGTTTCCTTGGCTTACCAAGCATAATCCTCTAATTGACAGGGAGAGAAAAGAGATTGTGAAATGGGGTGACTCTTGTTGTAAGGAGTGTATCAGTCGAGTTAAACCTATAGGACTCCTCAACGTTCCTACCATGGAACCATTAACCACTCGAGTACCTGAACCATATCAGGATCTCAAGGCAGTCTTTGAACCAAGGGAAGCAAACAAATTAGCACCCCATCGTTCTTACGACTGCGCTATTAATTTGTTACCCGGTACTATGCCCCCTAGGGGTACCATGTATCCCCTCTCTGTGACAGAAAACAAAGTACTTGAAGAGTACATCACAGAGAATTTGAAGAAGGGTTTTATTACCAAGTCATCCTCCCCGGCTGGTGCAGGGTTTTTCTTTGTTTCCAAAAAGGAAGGTGACTTGAGACCCTGCATCGACTATCGGGATTAAATAAAATAACAGTACGAAACGCATATCCAATTCCGCTCATTACTGAGCTTTTTGATAGGTTGAAGGGAGCAACCGTATTCACTAAATTAGATTTACGGGGAGCTTATAATCTAGTTCGAATTAAGAAGGGACATGAGTGGAAAACAGTTTTCAATACTCGCTATGGCCATTATCAATATAGGGTTATGCCCTTCGGCTTATGCAATGCCCCGGCAGTCTTTCAAGATTTCATAAACGATGTATTAAGGGACTATCTACAAACGTTTGTTGTTGCCTATTTAGACGACATACTCATCTAATCTAAGAATATCAATGAGCACCATAGACACGTTAGGATAGTTCTATCTAAATTATTAAAAAACGGACTCTACTGTAAACTAGAAAAATGTTTGTTTGACGTGGAGAAGGTTAATTTCTTGGGTTACATAATTTCAGGTTCAGGCTTTCAAATGGAACCTAAAAAACTGGAAGCAATTTTAAATTGGCCCATACCCATTGGACTTAAAGCCATCCAACGTTTCCTGGGGTTCGCTAATTACTATAGAAAGTTTATCAGAGGATTTTCCTCTATTACCGCTCCTATTACCGCTATGACAAAGAAGAATAGAAGTCATACGGTGTGGAGTACTGAAGCTAAGGAAGCCTTTGAAATATTGAAGCTAGCCTTTTCTTCAGCCCCGGTGTTAAGTCACCCTAATCCTTTGCGTCCTTTTTTGTTAGAAGTGGATGCTTCAGAGACAGGGATAGGGGCTGTACTCTCTCAGAGATCCTCGAATGATCAACCCCTGCATCCCTGTGGCTATTTCTCTAAAAAACTGACGAAAACAGAACGAAGATATGATATAGGAGATAGGGAATTGTTGGCTATCATTTCAGCGCTCAAAGAATGGCGGCATCTATTAGAGGGGTCATCTGAACCGATCATCATCCTCACTGATCACAAGAATCTTTCCTATTTTGGAGAGGCAAAAAGAATGTCTGACAGGCAGATTCGTTGGTCTTTGTTCCTAACACGTTTTAACTACATAGTGACGTACAGGCCGGTTCTAAGAATACGAAAGCAGATGCCTTATCTCGACAACATGAGCACCTATCTCCTCCAGTAACCCATTTATCTTCCATAATCCCTACTTCACAAATAGTCGCCACAGTCCATACTAAAATCTCTTCTAGCTTAATGGAAGTATTGTCCAAATGCCAAGACCACAACTCCATAACTATCCCTCAGGGGAAATTATACGTACCTTTAAATTATAGGAGACGAATCCTATCCTTGGTACACGACTCTAAGATTGCCGGTCATCCCGGTATCCATAAGACAGAAGCACTACTCGAAAAGCAATTCTGGTGGCCCTCTTACAAGAAGGACGTCCGAGAATATGTCCTAGCCTGTAACATCTGTTCCTCTAATAAATCTCCTAAAAGTCGCCCTTTAGGCCTCCTCATGCCGTTGCCTATTCCCGAAATGCCATGGTCGAGTATCGCCATGGATTTCGTAGTAGACCTGCCACCTTTAAAAAATCACCGGGTAATCCTATCATCGATAGATTTTCCAAAATGACCCACCTAGTCCCTTTAATTAAACTTCCTTCATCCTCCGAACTGGCCAAGATATTTATAAGGGAGGTGGTTCGTTTACACGGTATCCCTACAGATATAGTCTCTGACAGAGGCTCACAGTTTATTTCCAGGTTTTGGAAAGCGTTTTGTGATCAGTTGGGTATCAAACTTAATCACTCCTCTTCATACCATCCCCAATCCAACGGAGTTACAAAGAGCATGAATCAATCACTAGAACAGTACATTCGCTGCTTCACCTCCGATCACCAAGATGATTGGATGGAGTTACTCCCTTGGGCTGAATTCGCCCACAATAACTGGGTTCACAAGTCGACACAACATAGCCCCTTTTTTATAAATTATGGCTTTGACCCTATTACTCTTCCGAGTTCCTTTTCATCCTCGGCAGTGCCAAGCGTTGACTACACTGTAAAGAATATGAAAGAAACTTGGATAGGGGTCAAGCGTATCCTGACTCAAAAGGCCGATGCTCAAAAAAAGAAAGCGGACACTCGGCGCAAAAATGCTCCGAATTTTATAGTAGGGGATAGAGTGTGGTTGAGCACACGCAATATTAAAATAGAGTTCCCTCTATGAAATTCGCTCCGCGATTCATTGGTCCTTTTAGGATCCTCCAGCGGATTAATCCAGTCTGTTATCGCCTGGACTTACCGGCTAATATGAGGATACCCAATTCCTTTCATGTTTCTCTTCTGAAACCTTTGATTTGTAATCGCTTTACTCGGAAACCCAGGACTCCTCTTTCTACACTCATTGATGGCCAAGACGAGTACGAGGTTAAATCTATTTTAGACTCTCGTGTCTCTAGAGGTCGGCTCCAGTATCTATTGGATTGGAAGGGATACGGCCCCGAGGAAAGGTCATGGGTGGATGCCTCGGACGTGCACGCGCCTCGCCTAGTCCGTTCCTTTGCTAGGCATCGTTCTCGCGGGCCCTGTCCTCCCCGCCCTGGGGGCGGTCCTCGAGGGGGGGTACTGTGACGATACCTTACCTGTGTCCGCCGATCCCACGCAGCACGGCGGTTCCCCCGGCTGCTTCCGGGAGGCGGCGCAGCCTGTCAGACGCTTCCCGCTCATGGCGAAATCAGTTTTATGACGCGGCGCATGCGCGCCTACGTCATGATAGTTTTGCCGCGAAAATTCAAACGCAGTCACGCTCCCGGACCTTTTGGGGTCGTGGCTTTAAAGTGATATAAAAATATACGGTAATGGTGTAATAAATGGGTTAAAAAAGGGAAAATAGAAGGGGTAGTTCCACACACTCACCAGCGACTAATATTGAGTGGAAGCTCACAAACTGTAAAAGTGTGGACACTTACCCAATCATAAAATAAAAATAATAATTATAACCATAAATAGATAAACCACTGTTTATTCATCAGAAACAGTTAAAAAATAATTAATAATTGTCAAAATACAAAAAGTGATCTGGACCTATTATATAACAAATAAAAACAATATCGCTATCCTGAAACAAATATAACCACACAGCTCTCTAATAAGTGAGGAAATTGAGTGGTAGCAACACCCAGACTCAATGCAATGATACAGTGACAAAGTATCTAAGTGTTGCCCCACCCCAAACCCTAACACAAGTATAGTAACAAATATACTCTGATGTGAGAATATATAGACACAGTACCTGTCCTCGGTGTGGGCCCCCACCGAGGTAAAAAAGGAGAGCAAAGAGTCTAAAATTGTGAAAAAGAGGGATACGGCACACTAAATATCCATGGAGGTCGTAAGCTGATACACCGCGGTCGGGATCTTCAAAAAAGAACGCGGTGGAGTATAACCGGACACCGTTGGGTAAGGCTTCAAAGGTAGGATCCAACAAACAGAGCCCAATGAAGAAAAGACCACCAAAGTGGATAAATGTTTCCGTGCTTCCTGCTTTCACTCCAGAACAGCAATCAAATAACAACAGGTCCAGAACACAACCTGTCTACGCGTTTCATCCCTCCCACGGGACTTTATCAAGACTGAAAATAATGTGTAAGCAAACCAGTATAAATACCCCACACTCGGCGAAAAACAAAAAAACAACAAAAAAAAACGGAACTGGATTCACAATACAAATGAAAATAACATAGAAAATTATACATAAAAATAAAATTGACATAATATAACATATATATAACATCTTAATATAAAAGGTCAGGCAACCAATATATACAGTAACATGAGTGTACATTAAAAATAGAAAAGAAACCATGTTCTTATTTCAAAGTATAATATTAAATTGTCATAGATAGACTCTGAGTCTCATAACATTACCAGAAAGGACATACCACCCACAAAGGGTGAATCCATAAGGATCAGAACAACTCCAACTCCTCATTGAGGCCATTAGGAGTCATAGAGTTGAGCTTAAAAATCCACATGGACTCAGCCTTAGTGAGCTCCCTTCTCCGTTTTGCTTCATCCTGATGGGGGGGAATATGCACTATTCCCACTAACTTAATACCAACAGGATTACTATCATGAAAGATAGAAAAATGTCGGGCCACCGAAGATTTACCATCGTTACGTATAATAGCTGTTCTGTGTTCCCGAAATCTACATTTCAGAGGTCTAATGGTTTGGCCCACATAATGCCGTTCACAAGGGCAGATAAGGAGGTATACCACAAAAGAAGTGTTACAAGAGATCAAAGATTGAATAGAAAAAATCTCCGTACTGTCAAATGGACTAAAGGTAGAAATATGAGGGCAAATAAAACCTTTTGGGGGCGTGGCTTTAAAGTGACACACACATCAGTATAAAAGGGCATCCCTGTCCACCCCTCAGTGCCCTAGTGTGGTTCTTGATTGTTCCTCTGGTGCTCTTATACTTAGTTATCTGTTTTTCTGGTATTTTGACCCTTGGCTTCCGTACTGACGATTCTCCTATCTGGCTCCCCGACTTTTGGCTTGGCTTTCTCGTTTATCCCGATTTCCGTACTCCCTTGATCCTTGACTTTTCTTTTGACTATTCTCTGACGTTAAGTCCGTCCACCCTAAGGTCCGGTATACGTCCATTTCTGGGTTACCATCTGTGTGAAGGGGTCACTGTCGTGACAACTGGCCTTTTATGCAGTTGGATATGGACCTTGTTGGGGACAGGACACAAACACAATAACAGCAAGATTACAAATAGTGACACTCCCAGTACAAACCATACAATCCCTCCTCTGAATCTGCGAGATAATGGAGTTAAGTGGCTGGCTTAAACTCAATCATTTCTAGTACAGAAAATATTTACTCTTTTAATATTTCACAAAAACACTTTAAAATACAAAAGTCATATTTCGTGTAACCAAACTCCCATAGTCTGCACATCCCGATATAGCTTGGATCTGAGCCCACAACATATTCGAAAAGCACTCAGATCCCCCGAACATAGTCGAATCGCCACTGGAGAAAAGAATTGACCAACTGCTCTGGGGACGTCTACCCAGAAATAGTTCCATAAGTTCAGGGGTAGCGGTTGGTCTAGTTCGAGAGTTTCATATGAAATGAAATGATGCACAAATAAAAAGGTAAACAGAGTTCTCTGGCTCATAGTGTGGGGTTTGTTCGCAAGTTCTTGTCGAACAATCTGTCGAACAGCTCTCTTCTTGCTTGCCGCGATTAGAAGCAGGCATTCGTACGTTTTCACCTGTGTTCGGGCCGTCGAGTGGCTGCCTCAGAGTTCCAGGCACTCAACGACCAAGTCGCACTGCCTGCTTTCGTACGACAAGATGGCCGCCGTTTTCTCCACCACGTGGCGTTTGGTTATACGAATGGTGGCCACACAAAGAGAGCTTAATGAGCCAGGGGGTGGTTGGTGTTCGGTACTTAGTTCTTTCGAATGAAATGGGGAATAAAATATGAACTAAATTCCCGGGCAGAGTAGGAGAATGACTCTGGGGAAGGCAAAATAGGGATTTTGTCACATTGTGCTTACAGAGGCCCTAAGAAAACTCAAATAAATGTAGGCCCTTGAGAGTTACTACAAATTATAACTAATGAAACGGGACTCATATAGTAGTATTAATACCACTCTGAAGGCTTTACAAGAAAATATATGCTTAAAATAAATATCTTAACCCATAGCTCAAAATGTCTAAATATTAATATAGGGGTAGGGTTGGGTTTAGGATTAGGGTTAGATTCCTGTCATCATTCCCTTAATTTTCCCTCCCTCTCCTGTTTTGCCACTTTTCAGAAATCTGAAGCACTTCGGCAATTCAATTCGGTTCGTCACGTCGGTGAGATTGGGCACGTCATTTAGATTCGGCACTTCCAAAATTTGGAGCTTCCGAAATTCGGCAATTCGGACATTGGGAAGTGTCCGAATGTCCGAATTGCCAAAATTCGTCTGAATTTAAATTCGGACCTAAACTAATTGCATATGTGTAGAGTTTATGTCAGAGCCCCGGTCACTAAAATAGGCACACACAAGGAGTCACCTTTAACAGTGCTGTCGTGTACTGCCTTGATTAGTCCTGGCCTGTATGATGATAGTTTAGTGCAAAAAACAAAGGTCACCACTAAATAGTATGTGGCACAATAAAACCATGAAACAGATAACAATAATTGAATAACATAGATATGTTAATCCTTCATGGCCTTGGAAATATGAAAGTTATCTTATTATCTTATGATATAGGAGAGCTATGAATCCATCAAAAAATAAGGGTAATGAAGAATAGCAGTGAGGGACGGAGTGAAATAGAAAAAAAGTATTGGAGGGAAGTAAGGAGAAATGTGGACACATTCAAAACTGAAGCACAGTTTAAGTCATATACTCAATAAAATTCAGCTATAAGTCAGATTTCTAGATATCTTATTTTGGTTTTACACCATACAAAAGGGCACTGCATTTGTAGGTGAGATGCCTGAGTGGGTGGATATATAATCTTTAAATGGTATATTTACTAAACAGTGAATTGTAAAGAAACTAATTTTCGAAATTAGGTTAAAATCAGTGAGTAAGAAAAGTTATCATGGTTGAATATATTTATTACTTGTTATGTATTAAATTTATTTATGTGTGTATATTGTATTGTTGTATCCTGTTGTAACAATGCAATGTTTTGTGAAGCCAGGAAATACTAGAAAAGGAGAGAAATCTCAATGTATCCATCCTGGTAAAATATTTTATAAATAAATAAATAAATCAACTCTGCTATGACCATAAATTACATCAACCAAAAGTAACGGTTTATGAATACATTTGCATAACTATTTAGCCCTCTAAATACTTCCATTAAAGATTAAATACATGAAAAAAATTATTGTTTAAATGATCATAATTTAAATTGTTATGTATTATTAAACAACCAATCAATATCCATATTCTATTCCTTACATTTATGTGATAGTAATACATATCCAATCTGTTTCAAAAATACTGCTTTATGCTTAAAAACTATTTGCCAAACATTGATAGTGAAATATATATATTTATATACAACTTTTCAGTGCTATATCATGCATTGGTGGAACTACGGGTGGTACAGCCGGTGCAACTGCACCGGGGCCCAGAGCTTGCACAGGGGGCCTAGCACAGGGCTGGGAGTTCCACCACTGTTCTATGGTGCTGCTGACCCGATGGGCCCATTGGACAGTGCTGCAGCATGCACAGTTGTGGGTGGTCAGTGGGGGCCCCTGTCTCCTTCTTTCTCTCAGAGAGATAAACAGGAGCAGGGCAAGCAGAGTGAAGCTGCCAAGTTCCCATGGCTCCACTGGCCCACGGTAAATTGTGCTGGAAGCTCAACATAGGGGGCACTGTGCATTACATTTCACTTCCTCCTGTGTCACATTAAACAGCACGGAGGAGAGACAGGAGGAGAGGAAGCTCAGTTTTGCAGCTTGGGAGGAGTGAGGCATCCAGGCAGCTTCTGGTGAGTGTGCACTCAGTATGAGTCAGTCTGTGGTTAGGTGTGTTAGTCTGTATGAGTCAATTGGTAGGGGCAAGGTCAGTCTTGGTGTGTGTATGGGTCAGTTTGTGTGGAGGGGGTCAGTCTGTGTGTGTGTGTGTGTGAACGTGTATGGATCAGTCTGTGTGGGGGGAGTCAGTCTGTGTGTGTGTGTGTGTGTCAGTCTATGTGTGTATGGGTCAATCTGCATGGGGGGGTCAGTCTGTGTGTGTATGAGCCAGTCTTTGTGCTGGATTGGGTCAGTCTGAGTGCATGAGTAAGCCTGTGTGTTTTGGGGGGTCAGTCTGTGAATGTATGAGTCAGTCTGGGTGAATGTGTGTGTACATGTGAGGGGGGGGGGAGGGTTCAGTCTGCGTGTGTATGCAGCCCCTGGACAAACATGCACACACTTTACAGACTCTATCAGCACACACACACAATCTTTACTAAAATCTCTACAGCCAATCCTGGTGTTGCGGTTACACCGGGGACCGCATGCTGATGCAGCCTATCGGGTGGCCATAAGTGCCTGGTGTCTTCAGGGTCCCCAAAAAAATCTTGCTCCAGAGCCCTCTCTACATTAGTTCCGCCATTGATGCTATGTTATGTGTGTTCTAACTAGGTTTTATAGCTTTATTGGAGAACCACAATAGTTCCCGCTGTTATGTCACTAATCTTACTTTATTATCGATATTTGTAACCTCAGCCCACAATTCATTAAATTTAAAAAACAGTCCTTTCTAACTGTTTGCTCCATATAGACACATATTATTATAGTCCTCTTTTTTTTCCTGAACACCTCAATAATAAAAGATAGATTTTAATTCACAAAATGTACCACTCATTATTCAAATGGTACACTGAGCACTACTAGCTGCATCATTCTGTTTTTTTTTTTTTTTTATTCAAATGAGAGAGCTGTCATTAGCTTGTACAGAAAACAGAAGTAGGCAATCTAAAGAGATGTTAATTAACATTTAATTCGCTATAGAGCTGCATAAATGGACATGCTCTTTAGCAGTGAGGTAATATTGCTGTAGAAATATTTAATTTCTATGAAGAAGTACAAATGTATTAGACATAATTAAAAATGCAGTATTCAGTATTTTTCAATCTTTGATATATTTTAGTGATCATTATCTGCTCTGCGATGTGCCCTGCAGCCATGATAAATAGAATGGACCACGTTAGCCTTTATATAATATTGCCTTGGTGTGTTAATGCTAATAGTTCTGGTCAGCGTTAGGCTAAAGGTTGCCTACCCTTGATCCAGGCACTCCCTAAGCCAGGTGTAGGCAACCTTCAGAACTCCAGATATTGTTGACAGCATCCCATCTCCAATAATGAAAGAGGGGCACAACCAAATAAATAAAATGTGCTTTATTATACGGGTACAAAATCACAGGTATCACAAAAAATATGCCAAGAAACCAAGAAACCTCAAAATAAATAAAAATATACATATACAATACAACAATATGTGTACATAATGTATTCCGATCAAAAGATAAGCATAGTCAATATTCAATAACTTAGGACCAATAGTATCAATCCTGATACAAATATGTAATTAATGTCCAGCAATTAATATATACCAGAAAAAATTAATGTCAGAGTGAGTGAGAAGATGGTCAAAAATCAAAAAAGACCCCCCTCCAATATTTCAGCTTGTGTGGGCTCTTTTTTATTTTCCACCCTCTTCTCACTCACTTTGACATTTTTTTTTCTGGTATGTAGTAAATGTTGGACATTATTGCACATGTATCTGTTTAGGTTTGTAGCAGGATTGATACTATTGGTCCTAATTATTGAATATTGACTATGCCTATCTTTTGATAGGGACACATTATTTAGACATATTGTATATGTATATTTTTTATTTATGCCGAGGTTTACTGGCATCTTTTTTTGTGATACTTGTGATTTTGTACTGCTATAATAAAGTACATTTTATTTATTTGGTTGTGCCCCTCTTTCATTATTATAGATTATGTATTGTTGGCCTTGGGAAATAAGGCTTTAAAGTGAGCACCCTAATTATTGTATTCTATGGTTCTGCATTGATTTGTTCTATATGGATATTTGTCAAGTGAGCCTACCTGCTCTGTATTAAAACATCTCATCTCCAATGCATGGTAAAAATTGCACACGTCATGGATAAGGGTCCTATTATGCACCAGTAAATCCAAGAAGACTCTAAGAAAAAGACTCCCTGATATTGCTACTACATTTCTCTGAGAAAAAGGATATTGTGAGAAAAACAAGGTCCATGTATTGCATGGACAGGTTGTCACTCTGTTCTAGGACTAATTATAAAATACCCTCCAACAGCACAAGTCACTTGACCTACTTTTGCAGTCCCTAATCCAGGCTGGGTTGCAATATCGCTGGGGCTTTCCCTCCTTACTTTTGTTTACCAGCATGGGTAAAGTGCTGGTGCTGCGTTCACGCAAGGATATACTATCATTTTGCTAGACCCTCAACTTCCCACTGTGGAGTTAGCAGTCTGGTCCCCCTACTTGCACATCTCATCCCCTTCAGTGGATGTGGAATGGTCCTCTTCTCAGTTTTGGGGTATACTTCCCCTGTTTTAATTCTGGATTCATCACAGCAGCAACAAAATATTCTACTATTGATCATGCAATTATTAAACCTAAATAATATCAATAAAGTGCATTAAATAAACAAATAAATATGTGGAAACACTCAATCAGAGACTCCATTTTACTATACAATAGCGTTCTCTATCGGATGGTATTTTTGCTACTCAGAGTCCTTTAAAAGCCCCTTTAATTATACAATAGTCCACAAATAGGAGAATAGTCCTGGAAAGGAAGGTGCACTCACAGGAGAGGTCTTGAGAAAAGTCCTATAAAGGACTGAAATGTCAAAACATTTTCTGGTGTATAATTGCACAATACAACTTCAAGATTTATCTACAAAGTCCTGTGAGTGCACCTTCCTTGATACAATATATAAATACATACATTTAAACAGTATCTCACAAAAGTGAGTACAACCCTCACATTTTTGTAAATATTTTATTATATCTTTTCATGTGACAACACTGAAGAAATTCAGTCTGTTACAATGTAAAGTAGCCTATATAACAGTGTACATTTGCTGTCGCTTCAAAATAACTCAACACACAGCCATTAATGTCTAAACCATTGGCAACAAAAGTTGCTTCTTTCCGTCAGGGTCTCGAACGTCACAACCTGGTTACTCTCGTATAGGTGGACTGCCCTCTGTAATGCCCTTGATGTTTTTGTAATCGTGTGCTAGCATTCCGGGGGGAAATGCCCTGTTCCTTAGTATGGGCATCATGGGGGAGGGTGATGTTGTTAATTTGTATTTCAGGGCTACTGCATCCCACACTCTGAGGGCGTTCCGGATCACAGAGCACTGTGTGCGAAGAATCGACCTGTGTTCTCTCGGTAGCCATATACAGAATTCGGGTAGATCGGCTCCCATGATGTCGGATTCGAGGTCTGCCCATGTGCGGTCATCCGGGGTCGAGTGCCACATGGCCACCTGTGCCAGTTGAGCCGCTAGATAATAATTGTGGAGATGGGGCAAGCCTAACCCTCCCCCATCTTTGGTTCTGTATAGTATGAGTCTGTATACCCTGTGTATTTTGTGTTGCCATATGAAATCCCCTATTGTTTTATGCAGGGGAGCTAAGTCTGTTTTTGTAATCGGTATGGGGAGGGCTTGAAATAGGAACTGCAGCCTGGGCATTATGTTTATTTTTATTGTGTGGACTCTTCAAATCCAAGAGATTGGTTTGTCCACCCATCGTCCCAGGTCAGCTATGAGAGTCTTGAGGAGTGGTGTGTAATTGGCAGCATATAGCTGTGCAGGGTCCCCGGTAAGCTGTACTTCCAAGTATTTGATGGCTTTCGGGACGATTGGGATGTGGTGTTCATCCCGTATGTATGTTATGTCAGCGTTTGTCATGGCTATGGGGAGTGCATTGGATTTCGAGAGGTTGACCTTATATCCTGACAAGGCGCTGTATTCTGTCAGTACTTCGGTTAAGGCCATCATGGAGCTTTTAGGGTTTGTGAGGGTAAGTAATACGTTGTATGCGTATCGTGAAGTCGTATATGTTTGCCCCCCTACCGTTATGCCCTTAATGTGTTAATTGGTACAGATAGCTTGTAGCAGGGGCTCTAGTAAGAGTATAGGGGCGAGAGTGGGCATCCCTGTCTAGTGCCATTGTGCAGGGTGAAGGGTGCGACCGGGGGTCCTGTAATTTTGATTTGTGCTTTTACGACGGTGTACATGGCTTTTATCGTTGTGATATACGTCTCCGGGAAGTCTAAGTGTCGTAGGAGTTCAAATAGGTAGGGCCACTTTACTCTGTCAAAGGCTTTTTCTGCTTCTAGGGAAAGTAGTAGAGTTGGGGTGTTAGTGGTTGTTTGGGTCCAAATTAGGTAGATGTTTCTTCTGGTGTTTTCAAATAGTTGGCGTCCGGGTACGAAGCCCACATGGTCTGCATGTATCAATTTTGTTAGTTGTGGGGATAACCTTTCTGCCAAGATCTTAGGTAATATCTTGACGTCGTGGTTGATCAGTGTTTGTAGTGCTTGGGGCGTGTTTCCCTGGTTTTGGTAGTAGCACTTTGTTGGCCGTGGTCAATTCGGGGTCAGGTTGCACCCCCCACCCCCATTAGATGGTTATACCATTTTAGCATGTGCGGTGTTAGTTCCAGTCTGTAGGTTTTGTAATAACCTCCCTCGAATCCATCTGGTCTAGGGGCTTTGTGTCCCTTAAGGCGTGTGATTGCCCGGCCTATCTCATCTGCTGTAATCTCGTTGCCTAGGGTCGTTTTTGCGGTTGGGTGTAGTTTCGTCAGGTTTAGTTTGTTCAGGTGTGTGTGTAGGGCCTCTAGTAGGTCTGGCGTGTTGTTGTTGTCCTGAGGAAAGTGGTTGTATAGTGTTTTGTAGAAGTCTGTGAAGACTGTTGCTATTTCTGCTGGTGCTGTTTTTGTGTGGCCTCTACTGTCCTTGATAGTTGTGATGTGTGCGTGTTTGGGTCGTGCGCGTAGTGAACGGGCCAAAAGTGTGTCCATCTTGTTTGCCTGTTCATAGAATGTCCTCTTGGAATATGTCATGTTTCTGGCTACGTCGCCTAGGAGAGTTTCCCTTATCTGTCTTCGTGTGGTCTTTAGTTTTTTTAGTCCGTCTTGTGTGGGGTCTGCCTTATGTTGTTGCTCTTGTTTGCGTAGGTCGGTAAGTAGTGCTTGTAGTTTTTGTGTCTTTGTTCTCTTTTTGCGAGTGGCCTCCCTGATTAGTACCCCTCTGATCACAGTCTTGTGTGCAGCCCATATGGTTGCTTGCGTTATGTCTGGGATGTTGTTGTGTTGGAAGTATTCTTCTATTTCTTTTTTAATGGTGTCTTTTATGGTAGGGTCATGTAGCAGGGAGCTATTTAGTTTCCAGGACCAGGAGGTGGCGTGTATACCAGGAAGTCGGTCCCACATTGTCAGAGCCTCGGGAGCCGGCGAGTATGGCATAAGTAGGTCACACAATCACCAAGCGCCCTCTCTCTGGCGCGGACTGCTTAAGTACAGTCAGAGCCGCGTCAGAGGGGGCAGGGTTAGCTCCGCATCGCGGAAGTGCCGAACTCGGAAGTGTTAACGCATGACAGCGGTGACCGTGGCGGTGTAGGTGGAAGCAGCGATGGAGGAGGAAGATGAGGTAGCCAACACTGTTTTTGTTTTGTTTTGTTTTTATAATTGTGGTAGCCCACAAAATATTGGGACATAGAAAAAAATAAAAATGTATTCCTGTGGTGCATTTCTTGGAGAAAAGGCCTTCACAAGCCTCTGCTAATGTGTACCTAGTTTATAATAAGTGACCCATAGGTTGAGGAGGAGGTGACCGTGGCGGTGGAGGAGGAGGATGAGGTAGCCAACACTCTTTATATATATATATATATATTTTAATTTGCGTAGCCCCCAAAATATTGGGACATATAAAAAAAGACAACTCTGTTCCGCAGAGTAGCTGTTGACATTATAGTTGCACAGGAACTTTGTTGACTCTAGAGAACACATCACACATCCCCGTGGCGGCGCCTTTGCATGCGGATGTCATCCATATCAACATTCGATGCCAGTTTCTGCACCTACCATGGTGACAATGGGTAACTGGGAATCAGGGTTTCATTCCGTACAGTGACCCTGAGAAACGGCTACCACATGCAAGGAAGGCAGCAGGCGAGCAAATGACCCACTCCTGACGCGGGAAGGTAGTGATGACAAATAACAATACAGGACTCTTTAGAGGCCCTGTAATTGTAATGAGTCCACTTGAAATCCTTTAACTCTGATCAATTGGAGGGAAGTCTGGTGCAGAGCCACTGACCCGTGCGTGCTGCAGCTGAAACTCCACTATCGCCTGCTGCTGTTCACACAGTCTCATGAGGCGGTGAGCGGGAAGGCCGAAGTTACGCTGCAGCACACACAGGCGAGCAGCAGCAGGATGAGAACACCAAAAGCGCACACAGCCGCTACAGTGAATGTCACATCCTGCTCCAAGCTGCGGATCAATCTAGTGATGGCTTCTGGTATCCAGTACTCTTTTTACTGAAGCTGCATCAAGGTCCTGGTATGTGGCCGCACAAACGCTGGTGCTCAACACCAGGGGGCAAGCGGTTACCCTGCACCAGACCCTGCTAATCCATTCCACACTGTGACTCCTAACTTCAACATCAGGCATACTGGGTCCTGGTTGTCCGACCGCTGCTGCCCAGACAGTGTCTTGGTCCTGGTCACCGGACTGCCCACCTGACTGTAAAACTACGAATGGATCGTTATATCTGGTACGAACCCGAACTTTGTAGTTCAGGTTCGCTCAAGTCTATTATGGATATTTTGATCGCTACATGTATTACTTGGATAACTGGTAATTCTCGAGCTATTATTATTCTCGAGCGCTAGAGGACGGCCGCTCCGCTTTTGCATCCTGCTCCCTCTTATGCTGTGCTGGTGCCTCTGTGCGACCAGCGCCTCTTCCTCCAAACTGCACATCACTTGCATGACCTTGATTCCATGCGGGGTCTAGGACCTCATCATCCTCCACATAATCTTCCACCCACTCCTCAACCCTGCCCTCCTTGCCGGTATACACACTCCAGGAAGCCACAGCAGTTGGCACCTGTGTTTTTCCACCATATAAAGTCTGCAAAGGACATATGGAAATTATTTTAGAATTGTATCCATGCAACAGTTTTCCCTATAAACTGACCTCTCAGTTTGACTTGTGAGGGTATTGCCCCAGAATTACAATATTGTTGAAGAACCTCTTAGCTATTGATCACTGGTTTAAATATAGCAGCTTGTTATCTGGTAGTTTCTAGTGTAGAAAATATCAATCTGTTTTCTATCACTTAGATCTGTGTAACAAGTGTTGTAGGTGTAACAAGTGACCGATGTACCGTGTTTCCCCGAAAATAAACCCTACCCCGAAAATAAGCCCTAGTCGGATTTTCGGGGTGGGCTGCAATATAAGCCCTACCCCGAAAATAAGACCTAGGCATTTTACCTTTGCGGCGAGACTTCCGTCTTCTACTGTAGGAGGAGCGTTGCGGGCCGCGGCATCGCGCAACGTGATGACGACATTTCGCAGCGCCGTCAGTCTGCCTTCACGGATCTTCAGCGGAAGGATCCATTTCCGGGCGGTGAGGCTCCCAGTGGTCGGACTCGGCAAGGAATCTTTGAAATGTGAGTACCGCTAGATATTTTATGTCTGGGATTAATTGAATTAATTAAAGGGGGGGTGAATTAATTAAAGGGTGGGCTGGATTAATTAAGGGGGGTGAATTAATTAGAGGGGGGTGAATTAATTAAAGGGTGGGCTGGATTAATTAGAGGGGGGTGAATTAATTAAAGGGGTGGTGAATTAATTAAAGGGTGGGCTGGATTAATTAGAGGGGGTGAATTAAAGAATTAATTAAAGGGTGGGCTGGATTAATTAGAGGGGTGAATTAATTAAAGGGGTGGTGAATTAATGGGCTGGATTAATTAGAGGGTGGTGAATTAATTAAAGGGTGGGCTGGATTAATTAGAGGGGGTGAATTAATTAAAGGGGTGGTGAATTAATTAAAGGGTGGGGAATTAATTAAAGGGTGGCTGGATTAATTAGAGGGGGGTGAATTAATTAAAGGGTGGGCTGGATTAATTAGAGGGGGTGAATTAATTAAAGGGTGGGCTGGATTAATTAGAGGGGTTGAATTAATTAAAGGGTGGGCTGAATTAATTAGAGGGGGGTGAATTAATTAAAGGGGTGGTGAATTAATTAAAGGGTGGGCTGGATTAATTAGAGGGGGGTGAATTAATTAAAGGAGTGGTGAATTAATTAAAGGGTGGGCTGGATTAATTAGAGGGGGGTGAATTAATTAAAGGGGTGGTGAATTAATTAAAGGGTGGGCTGGATTAATTTGAGGGGGTGAATTAATTAAAGGGGTGGTGAATTAATTAAAGGGTGGGTTGGATTAATTAGAGGGGGTGAATTAATTAAAGGGGGTGAATTAATTAAAGGGTGGACTGGATTAATTAGAGGGGGTGAATTAATTAAAGGGGTGGTGAATTAATTAAAGGGTGGGCTGGATTAATTAGAGGGGGGTGGATTAATTAGAGGGGGTGGATTTATTAAAGGGGGGGTGGATTAATTAAAGGGGGGGTTCAATGTACATACCGGTACCGTAAATAAATAAGCCCTACCCTGAAAATAAGCCCTAGTGTGTTTTTTGTGACTAAAATTAATATAAGACCCGGTCTTATTTTCGGAGAAACACGGTAGTAAATTCAAATAAAAGTTACGCTTTGATTTGACTCTCAGATATGAAGTGAACACCCCAAATATACTATTTAGCGCCCCCCAAAAATATAAAATAAAAACTGACTTTTTAAAACTCCAATGTAAGCAGTAGATTAGCAGCAAAACAATTAGAATGTTTACAACTGCGTAGTAAGCGCACTATTTAACGCTTCTATTTGACTCTCAGATATGAAGCGCACCGCAGGCCCCAAAATGTACTATTTAGCAGATTAGCAGCAAAACAATTAGAATGTTTACAACTCCGCAGTAAGCATACTATTAGATGCTTCTATTTGACTCTCAGATATGATGAACAGGCCCCAAAATGTACTATTTAGCAGATTAGCACCCAGAAAATAAGCATGTTTACCACTGCGCTGTAAGCACACTATTAGACGCTTCGATTTGACTCTCCGATATGAAGTGCACCCCACTAAAATACTATTTAGCACTTTAGGACCCCAAATTTTTTTAAGTTTTAAAACTGCAATGTGACAGCAGTATTTGACGCTTCTATTTGACTCTCAGATATGAAGTGCACCCCACTAATGAACTACCCCACTAATGCACTACTTCTTTCCTAAGCTGTCCCTATCAGCGGCAGGATCCTCTCCCTACACTAATAAGACCGCATGTGTGTGCGGCGCTACACGACTCCAGCTTATATATAGAGGCTGGGTCACATGCTGCACTGGGCAATCACAGCCATGCCCTTAGTAGGCATGGCTGTGATGGCTTCTAAGGGCACACAAGTCAAACGCTTGTTGATTGGCTGCCCTGCAGCCTTTCAAAATGCGCCATTAAATTGCTGAACACCAAACTCCAACCCGAACATACAGTGTTCGGGTTCGGGGTCCAAAAAACCTAATGTTCAGTACGAACCCGAACTTTACAGTTCGAGTTCGCTCAACTCTACTGGCTTATAATTAAAAGTTGGCACAACACTTATAAAATGGTTTGTAATATTGCACATTATAGCTGTGACAAAATAATATATAGGGTTAAAATGCTATTTCACTGTTTCATAGACTTAGCCAATTTTTAAGGACGACATGTTTCTTGCAAAGTAATCGGAACTTTGAGGGAGGTTTTAACTACGTTTAATTAATTCATTAATTTACTAAGGAAAAAATAAAAAGTTTTTTTTTTGCAAGTCAATTTTCAGTGCAAGATCATTTTGTGTTCACAGACTGTTCAGTTTTAAAAAGATGTTCTATTTGTCTTACTTTATGAATGGCCTTGTAATAAATCTGCACACTACAAAAAAATGGCTTTTATATACTAATTGTAAAAGATTTCATTTATCTATTTTGGTCCACTGTTCACTGATCTCTCGACTCTCAGTCCGGTGTTCAAACAGTTTTTCTCATGATACGTCGTAAGTTTATATCCGCATCTGTATATTGCTTTGTGGAAACAAATTGAAAGCCTGGCATTGTAATACGTGTATGGACATGCTTATAACAAAGCTTGGTCCCTCTCCTCATATAGTTGGTCATTAACAGGCACTTTAATGCAATGTGTCTACCAACGCTTTTCTGTGGTCACTGGATCACAAAAGCATACCCTATCTCTCATTCATGATGCAGAGTTTTTGTTTGCAAGGATAACCAGACCTAATCCACCTGGTTATCCAAATATATACTCCTATCGTTTAGAGGGGTTAATTATATAATAACCATTGAACGTAATAAGTTGGTTGTTTTTCCTGTAAAGGAAAGAGATACTTGTCCTAAAAGCGTATTCATGGCTTGGACAAGCTCATATAGATAGAGGTAATGTACTTCTGACTCCTGAAAAGGAATATTTGTGACCACATATGGGAAATGCTGTAGTTTGTGTGTTTAATAATCGTAAGCATTTGCTTATTGTCACATTACTGATGTACTGTTTATTGAACTATTAATATCAAACGTACTTTTTGAATTACTATATATTGGAAGTTTGCCAACATCTCATGGTTATAAATATGTTTTTGTATGTGTTGATGCACGTACCAGGTTTACTTAGTTTTATCCTGTGCGAAGCGCAACCTCTGATAACATGTTTGCTAGTCTCACTTCCTTAGTATGCATTTGGTAATCCCAGGACCATACACTTGGATGGTGGTCCTGCAGTTACTGCAAAGGAAACCCAAAACTGAGCAAACACATTTGGGTTACTTTGGGAACTCAGTGCGCCCAACCACCCCCTAAGTAGTGGGGTTGTGGTCCGGGAAGAATGCTGAGATTAAACGACTATTAACCAAGTTACTAGTTGCTTGCCCCCACACAGTGTTATCTATTTATTCCTATGGTACAGATGAGCATTCACAACATACCTGATGATACAGATGGTGAAACACAATATGATATCTTACATATTTTTCACTGACAAACATATTTCTGCACCAGGGAGAGCTTAGAACCATTGGATTTATTAGTGAAATTTAGGGAATTGTTTTTTTCCAGCTCACCTCACCATGCACCACAACCTATTTCCTACTGTTGGCCAGATTGTCCTGGAGAGGGTGACTCCAAGAAGTTTTACAACAGAGAACAATCAGAGCCAACAGAGAACAGTAAGTTTTTATAT